TTTCTGTGGAGAAAATTCCTGGGATTTGCCTTTTTCTGGGAATTTTTGCCATCCAACCTTGCTGGCAGCAGCTCCTTCATCAGGGATTGGGAATTCCTGAGGAATCGTCTGGAAAATTCCAAATATTCTAAATTATTCCCAGAATTCTTCCCATTGGAATGAAGTTTTACTCTTTCATGTGTCATTCAACCCCTTGGCTTCATTTTCCATCCATTTTCCATCATTTTCCATAATTTTCCATATCCAGCAGTTTGGGGGCATCACAGAAATAACCAAAAATAGGGATCTGTTCCTGAGTTTTGCTGTTTTATTCCCAAAATTCTCTATTTTCACCCTCCCAGACCCCTCAGGGATTTGCCTTGGGAAGATTCTCCCCAGGAATTTTGCTTCCTGCACACAAAATTGGGGAAAAACCATTGAGAAGCAAAAAAACAGCTTTAAAAATTGTGAATTCTTTAATTCAATTCTATATCAATAGAATCCAATATCAAATTCATTATCAGATCCACCAGCTCCAAGTTTTCCTTGGGAATATGATTATCCAGGAAATGCGGTGCAGTTGGAGGAGGTTTGGGATAAAACTTTGATTTTTGGGATCAAAGCAAGCCTAATATTCCCAATATTGGGATGAACTTGGGCTGGTTGGGGTGGATTTCGGTGTTTTGGTGTTGGTTTTTCCTTGGAAAATCCATTTTCTCTTTTCCTCTCCCATTTTCCAGCTCTACAGTTTATTGGAAAGGATAAATCCCGACCACAACTTCCCAGTGAGGTGAGAATTCCAGCAAATCCCAACATCCCGGGCTGGGAATGACGGATTTGCAGCAGGATTTTCAACAGATCAGGGGGAAAAACCCAACCTAACTCCAAGGGAAAACTCGGGATGGGGCGGAAATGGAATATTGTGCTTGGGAGCTGGATTTTGGGCTGGAATTCCTGGGAATTGGGGTGGGATCCTGAGGTATCCGTGGGTTTTTTTTCCATAGCTCCCACTGTCTCCGGGCCGCAGCGTTCTACATCCGAGGGCTCTTCTCCTTTTTCCAGGGAAGATACAACGAGGCCAAGTGAGTCCCAGCCCTGGGAAAATGTGGGAAAAACTGGGAAAAACTGTGGGAAAACTCAGCCTGGCTTTTTGGGATGGCAGAGGGAATGCCAAGGCTTCACCCCCATCCCATTCCCACGGATTCCTCCTGGATTGGCTGGGGGATGTGGTGGGGATTGAGCTCCTTCCTCGGGAATCCTGGGAACGTCATTCCCTGCAATCCCAGGGAATCCTTGGGATTTTATTTCCTGCAGTGTGTATAAATCCTTGGGAGCTTGTTCTCTTCAGTCCTAAGGAATCCTTGGGAATGTTCTTCCCTGCGATCCTTGGGAATCCTTGGGACTCTTGGACTTTTATCCCTGTGAATCCTTGGGAATTTTGGGCATTTTATTCCCTGCAATTCCAGGGACTCCTTGGGATCTCATTCCCTGCAATCCCAGGGAATGTTGGGAATGTTATTCCCCGGAATCCTTGTGAATCTTGGGATTTTCATCCCTGGAATCGTTGGGAATCTTGGGAAAGTTATTCCCTGCAATCCTTGGGAATCTTGGGAAAATTATTCCCTGCAATCCCAGAGAATCTTGGGAAAGTTATTCCCTGCAATCCCAGGGAATGTTGGGAAAGTTATTCCCATGAATCCTTGGGAATCATTGGGATCTTGGGAAAGTTATTCCCTGCAATCCTTGGGAATCTTGGGAAAATTATTCCCTGCAATCCCAGGGAATGTTGGGAATGTTATTCCCTGCAATCCCAGGGAATTTTGGGATCTTATTCCCTGCAATCCTTGGGAATCTTGGGGTTTTAATACCTGGAATCCTTGG